TACATCAATGTCTGATAATAATTTATGTTCTTCTCATTCTCGCTCATCATTGCATAAAATCAAATCCCATTTTGCTGATCTGGCCGTGCTGCTATGAAAGTGATAAAATGCCTGAGAATGCCGGTAAATCTGTAAATCAATAGCCATGCTCTAATAATGAAGATGCACGTAGGGTTAATTATAATGAAGTCGGCAAATCAATTCATCTCAACCAAGACTGCTGTTGGTAATTTGACCTAAATGCATTCAAAGTGCTTACAGGGTGGGGAGAAAAGCAGCAATTAGCCAGACAGCGCAGTGAATTATTGTCATTAAATCAGAGGGGGTTCAGAGTTGTTGCCTGGCTGTCAGACTGTGTCTGTGTCGCCGCAGACGACCTTTTAAAAATGGCAGAACAGGTGAAAAGACAGAAAGGTGAACTGAGAGGAAAAAAAATGGAAGAGTTTTACTTTCTTTACACAGAGCACTGATGAATTTGGCATCTATTTATATGAGCTAAGTGGAGTAGTTATGGACCAGGTGGAGGAGGGGTCAGGCTGGAAGTCACTCATATGAGTTCAAAGACTTCATCGATGGATCATATGAATTTTATTATATATAAAAAAATTAAATTAAATAAAAACAATATTTATTATTTCAAGTGAGATCAGGTTAAAAATTCAAGTTTAGATCAGTGGCTCCCGACCTTTTTGGGCTTGTGACCCCATTTTGACATCATAAATATCTGGCAACCCCAGAGACATTATAGTACCTGTCACGTGATCACAGCCGTCAATCAAAATGTAAGAGCTCAGGTGTTTTTTTTTCTGCATTTTTTTAAACTCAATTTATAGATGTGAAAAATACAACTGTTTAAAATGTATGGTGTTTTGAATCATAATGTTAAAAATGAATAATTAGTTGAAAATATGTATCAGTATTTATTTAAACTAATTACTTGACATTACAGGTCACCCCATTTGAATCCCAGGCGACAGTATGTGAGTGAGTCCAAGGTTAAAAAAACACTGGTTTAGTGTTAAAATTAAATGGTTAAATTTTTTTTATAACATTACTTGAGATAAAATGAGATAAAAAATTACCAAAATGAAAACAAAAAGTCAGAAGTATATTTGACCTGTAGTCATCGTGACTGAAGATATAATAATGAAAACAAACTCATAATCCTCAGCAAACACTCAGATCCTATCAATATTAATTACACATCATGAGAAACCTAAATAATTAAACACTGACATTCTGAGCAGGAAGCATCTCTGGGCTAGATGGAACATTAACCACATTTAAAACAACTTATAATCGACTTTTCATCTTATGATTATGATTTTTTAGCAAAGTTTTCTAGCTTTTAAGGAAAGGAAGTGAAAGTGAACTCCTTGTCATTGTGACACAGCTCACCACTGCACACAACCAAATGTGACCTCTGCTTTTAACCCATCACCAAAGTGAACAGTGGGCAGTTTCAAGGACCAGGGAGCAGTGTGTGGGGACGGTGCCATGATCAGAGCACCTCAGTGGTAAGTTGGCAGCTGGTGGACTCAAACCTGAAACCTTCCAGACCCTAGTCCGCTTCCTGAACCACTAAGCCACCACTGCCTCTAGAGAAAAATATATATTTTCCCTATCACTATCCTTTTCTAAATCATTTTCCCTATAATTTTTAATGTGAGAAGAAAATTGAATTTAACCTGAATTTAATGATAACTATTTTTACAGTGTTACTCCAGCAGCTCTGAGTGTATACAGTGTCTATTACCACCATTGCTGCACCACATGGGGTAATTAGAAGAAATCCTGCTACTGTATTAGCCTGGCTGTCAATGCATGGTTTTTGGAAGCTTTGGTGCATTTCATGTTCTCCAGTCTGGCATGGTGTGTATTCTTCTCACTTTAACATCACACCACTGTACTGTATACCACGGACTCCACAGCCACACTGAATGGAGAGCTCGGCCTGGAGCCCCTGCTGAGCACTAAACCAACAGAGGGATAAAACAGCGGTCTATTGTTGGACACACCGTGTGCTGGAAACCATTCACTACACATGGCTAAGTTACAGTACTATGGAGTTTCCATGCCAGTGATTAAAAGAGAGGAAAATATTAAGCTAATTAATTTTGAGCTTTAAAGCAAGATTAATGTATTTCTTTTATTTTTCATCCCAGGCACAGTGGTGCAGGGCATCTGTAGAAGCAGAACTGATCCACATGCATAGCTGGATTCAGCTTTAATTGCGGTGTGAGGGTGCACTGGGATGGCATGTGCTGAACTGAAGGCCAAAGCTCCATCCTGAGTGCGCACTGGAAACACAAAAATGTGCAGCCTGCCAGCCTGACAGGAAGCAAGGAGCCTGAAACACACAGCCGTGGAGCCGAGCTGAGGTCTGCCGCTTGGGATCCATAAAAGACTTAAAAAGAAGATTCAAGAAAATAGGGGGAATGTGAAGGAGGAGATTATGCAATAACATAAATAATGCAAGATGTATGTGGTTGAATACAGTCAGGTTTTTCTATTTCTATTGTCAAAAAAATCTTAAAGGTAAAAAAAAAAAGCAAAGATAATAAAGTTTGATATTCCAGGTGAACTTTGTAACGTGAACAATCTTGTAAATCCATATTATAAGCACAGGAACGGCGCAGTTGGAGGAGAGAAGGAGACAGACTGTAGAATGTCAACTACAAAAAACAATAAAAATGAGCAGCATAAATCATTTGGGAATAAAGGTCCACTTAACTCTCTTTCTCCCTCCTTCACCCCTTTTCTTTATAGTGGTGGTCAAAATAGAAAATGTCCCTCTACTTTAACCAGCTCAGGGTGTCAGCATGCCCTTAAAAACTCCCAGGGGTCCTTTATCACCCTGTTCAGACTCCATAAAATGCAGCTTATTACACTAAATCTGTCATGTGCTTTAATATGGATTGCAGTTTGATTCCACCGCCATCAATCCAAAAGGAGCGAGACTGCAAAGGCAACTGCACGAAGATGGATTCTCACATGTCCAACTTTCTCTGCGGTGACGCTTTTTCTCATTGATTATGTGACGTCAGAGAAATGTACTTCGTTTCGTTTGAAAGAAAAAAAACTTGTTTGTTTTAGTCTCTAATTAATTCAGTTCCAACAAGAGCAAAGTCCAGGGTCTCTGGGTCGTGTTTAAGTCTGATTAACCCTACAAAGCAGTGGTTCTCCAACTGTTTCTACTCTGTACCACCTGAGAAAACACTGATCTCTCTGAGTACCACCATGATGACCAACATTAGAATACAGCAGCAGAGGCCTTCACTGTTAGCTTCCACCACACAGGAGAGATGTTTAGAAATGTTTAGACAGATGTTTATGTTTAAATGTTATATTAATTGTCCATGGTATGTTTCAGATTGATTCAATTGAAAATGTAAATGTGAAAATATGAATTTTACCACTAGAGAACCCTTGCTTACCACAGTTTGAGGATTACTGCTATAACGTAATCTGAAATATGGATGGAGTAACATATGATGGTTAACAAAGAATGATGCATCACCTCGCAGAGACATGCAATTCTTCTCAGATGTAGGACATACAGTATAAACCTTTAGACCATGAGGAAATAACAGCAAGAGGAAAATGCAGGATAAGTCTCAGGGCCCAAAGGTGAGCAGTGTAAAGCAGGCTGATCGATGCCAAAGAAGACGCCTCGGGCAAAACACAACAAAGGCTTTAACAGCACGGACGCCTTGGCGGTTTAGGACACATTCAAATGTACTGTGGTGGCACTGAAGCCAGTTTCCTTATTCATGATGTGTCATTCTATTCCATATTTCAACTAGAATGGTGCGACATGTAGCTACTTTAACACAATTAAATCATTAGATCTAAGATTATTAAAAAAAACCAACACACACACACACACAGGAACTGGCAGCTTCTGCAATCATTTGCTTTTGTTCTTTGGCTGTGCTATGAAGGACATACGTGCTGGACAAGATTTACAGTTTTTTTGTCCTCTTCTAATGCTGGAAGAATTTGACATGTTTCCTGTTTTCCTGCCACCACAAAAATCCAGCAGGTTTCATTCAAACTTTGGCTAAAGAAATCAAAATGCCACCGACGCAGCCTGTTATTTACTTCATGTTTTTACTAAAATACATATATGAATAAATAATGATGAAGTTTAAGACGTTTTGTCGATCTGGTGAAATATTATGAGAATAAAGTTGAAACATGTTGAGATAAAAATTAAAGTTATGAGAAAAAGTCGTAACTTTACATGAAAAAAATAGAGAATAAAGGCGTAACATTATGATTAATGAAGTCATACCTACATACATTTATGACTTTATTCTTATGAATTCACGAAGAGACTTGAGACCTTTTTTCCCAACATTACTACTTTTTTCTCTAAATGCTACAACATTTTTTCTCCAGCGATTGACTTTATTCTTATGAATGTAGGACTTTATTCGTGTATTTATATATATATATGGTGGAATCTTGTTATTGTAGTTTAATTGCATCACATGGTTAAAAGGGTGCATTCAATTTAATGTATGGGCTGTAAAAACAAGTAAGGACATATGCCTGATGTTCTATCACTGCGTTTGACCTTGTTGACTGAAAGCAGCCTCTTTTCACACTCTATTAAAATACAATGTAAAAATAAAAGCTTTAACACTGCCTCTTTATTCAAATTAGGAACCATAAAGGTTTTCAACTCACAGACTTGGAAATAGCAAAGACACAATTCCCAGCACTGATTCAGATTTTAATTTGTGTCTTGCCTACTTGCACTTTGAGATTTGTAGTTACAATGTTTTTTTTAAAGCACTGTAATTTTATGATTTTTGGCAGATGTCAAGCTCTTGTGCCTGTGCCATAACTTCAATTGGTGCAAGTCAAATTTCCAGCAGGGGGCAGTATAGTTGGAGAACAGAAGCTCAGCAGGATTTATGTTGTGGCAATGCTTCCCAAAGTGGGGGCGGAGCCCACCTGGGCCAGTACAGAGTACAAACATGCAGTAGTACCTGTGAGGTTGTGTAGACCCAGCTGCCTCAGACCGTAGTAGCCATCTCGCCTGTAGTTGAGGAAAATGGCGAGGGAGTAGCGACCCTCGTACAGTTTGGTGCCCCGAACGATCCTGAGGTTTTCCAGTGGCAGGTAGTCAAACTGGTTCAGAGCCACCAACACGTAACCTGTCACTTCTCTGATGGACTGTGTAGAAAAATACAAAGAAAGACAATCAGTTTATGCAGACCTAGAAGCTCAAATTTAAAAATACAATAATAATAATTTCTTTAATAATGCAAGCCCTCATCTAGACCATTGTTTCCCAAAGACTGGATCGCGACCCTCAGGTGGGTCGCAAGAGATTTCTTTTTGGGTCAACTTGCATCCTGTTTCCCAGGAGCTTACAAATAATGTAATAGTGTAATAGTGTATTGGTGTAGTTTGTGTTTAATATAATGATATATTTAACATAATAATAAAGATTAAAGTTACCGCAAGTGCAAAATTAATTTGTAATTGACATCTTGCCATGGGCCAGATGTGGGATGCTTCTGAGCTAAAGAATGGACCCTGGGCTGGGACTTTGACATCCATGCTTGACGGTGTTAAAGTAGCACAGGCTTGAAAGGTTTGCACAGATATTTATACAGTTAGACAGCCAGTGAGTGAGTTAGAACTTAGAGCGGAAATCAAGTTATGTAGCGCCATAGGAACAAATCTATGTTCCTATGGCGCCCCCTCCCCCGCACCCCGTCCAAATGATTTTCAGTCATCCAGGATATTTTATCCTAATGACTTCAAGGGACGGCATCCAAGCCAGTTGTTTAGTTCTACTTCTTCCTAAGATGTATAAAAAATGTATTCTGGTGCTCTGATCATGGCTCCGTCCCCACTCACTGCTCCCTGGTCCTTAAAGCTGCCCACTGTTTACTTTGGTGAAGGGTTAAAAACAGAGGTCACATTTGGTTGTGTGCAGTGGTGAGCTGTGTCACAATGACAAGGAGTTCAATGTTTAATGTGTACATAATAAACCTGATAAAGACATATTTTAAAATGGGAGATTCAGACAACCCAAATAAAATGTACAAATATGTTAAAATCTGCAGCAGGATACAGACACCAACCACTCTGATGTGGAAAAAAAAGCTGGATCTACATTTTTGTGAGTGTCAGCTATCCACCCAGCCCTGGCATGAAGCATGTTATTTGCATTTTGAAATGTCAGCCCCATGAACAATGTGCCATGTAGAGACCAATAATGATTCAAATGTCAGCTGAGTTGGAGAGTAGTTACACATCCTCCCTGGTTAGACTGCCAGCTGCTCTTTAGTGCTTCAGATGCCATTATAGAAGAAGGCCTGACATTATTTCAAACCAATAAGTGCATTGAAGTGTTGGTATTGGACAAGAGCTTGGCAGATTTTGAGCTGGAACTATAGGTGTTTTACAATTGTAATCATTGCAGATGTCACAGGGCTAAACACATGTCTCTAATGGGTGTTTCTTTTTAAACAGAATGTTTGTTAGATATTTATTTTATACCCAATCCTTCATACCAAGACTAAAACTCTTTTGTTAACAATTAACAGCGGCACAGAAATACTACATCACTACAACTGTCTATGTGGAACCAAGCGCAGACACAGCAGGATATTACTTGACCACTTGAGCACAAACACATTTTCTTTTTTTTTTCATCACCAATTCAAATGGTGTGGCGAAGACAAGGGCCACTCACAGGTTTCAACATGTACAATGAAGGCTTGATTGGCAGAGTGAGTAACATCCTTATGTTTTTCTTTCATTTTATTCGTTTTTCTTGAGACGTCCTGCAATGTGAGTGACATGCTAGCCTGTACAAAATGAGTCAAATAATAAATGAGTAATAAGTAAAAAAATGGTGTGAGATCACACATACTGCAAATCACATTACTGTGCGATGTGCCTTCTGGTCTATCTATTGAAATGCAAACTAAAAAAGTATTCGTGACAGTACTTTGCATCGGTGAGTACATAAAAGAAAATATTTGCACTTATATTAGTTTGTAAAAATAGTATTGGGACAACATTAATAGCATGCATACAGAGGAACCGTGGTACTGTACAGTATAAAACAGTCAGGAGCGGCTGAAAAGTATGTGTGAGAAATGAATGGCGTGACCAGGGTTTTGAAGTTTCAAAATCAAGTCAATACTAGGTACTTTCCTTGGCAATCTTTTTAAAATATTTTTTTTATTCTAGAACAATTCTAGATATTTGTTAGTATAAACATTTTATGTACTTCAACAGTTCACTGTATATTAATTTTAACCAAGTTCTGTCTTTGGTATATTAAAAAAAAGTTACATATTTATCACAGTTTTTAAAATGTAGTAAAACATACAACCCACTTATACAACCAATCATAGGCTGTAGTTTGACTTTCTTTTCTTTGTTTCCTAAAAACGTGTGTTTTTTTTAAATTAATATAACTTCAGTGCAATGGGGGAACAAGCAGCAGGCTGCTACAGACACATCCTAATGACCAGAGACAGGGTCCCAATAATGATGTGGATGATTGGCTGGGAGGAAGGACATTGAGTTATGTGAGGTTCGACTTGCTGCTGACCCCTGAGGGACGCTGGTGGAGGATGACAGTTGTGGGACACACCATACAGTGTCGCCTGCATTTCAGGATAATAGCAGGTAACTGGGATTAGCTCCTATACTGAAAGCCCTGCAAACACTGCACACCTGCCAAGTTTTCCTATTGTAGCACTTGCACAATAGGAACGAAACAGACAGTGGAGGTGCTTATTAGCAAGATTACAATGTGTCAATCACCTACGGAGAGAATGAACAACGTAATAAAAGAGCAGTGGAATCCGTTTCAGCAGAGGCTTTGATTAGCATACTTATTGCACAAAGGATTTCTATTGTGAGATGCTCAACTGCCTATCAAAACTCACCAGTGAACTAACTTTTTGTCCAACGTATTTACAGCGTGTTTTCCAGAACATATAGTGAGCTGTGCAACTTTAAGCAACTTGTGACTCAACCTCTAAAAACAACAAAGTGCAGAGAAGAGGCTTCCTTCTCCAGGGGACGTGTTGATCGGGTCCTGTGGTTGGAAGTCGTGCCGTTTCATCACTCATTCTGACCTTACGTTGACTCTTTGTTCACTGCTTGGAGGCCAGAGTGGCTTGTGAGCTCGCCCTGCTATCTTCTGCTCTTTCCATAACCCCCAGGTGCCTGCCAGCGGCACTATGACTCTTAACGGAGGGATCGTCCTCATAGCTCCGACTCAGCTGTGGGCACGCACTCAGCGGCTGGCAGGCGCCACAGTACATCCACTGTGCCCTCATCTCCCTGCCAGCCTCCGGGACTCGCCGGTAGAACCAAAGAAAAACTGTTTCCCTGTTGCTTAGCAACTGCAGTAAAGTATTTCAGCGGGAATGGGAGAGATAAAAGAAGGAGCGAAAAGGAAAAAGAAAAACACAGGTTGTTTTTGTATCTAAATTAAACAAAAACTGTGGTTGTTTTTGTTTTGTTTTTTTCTAAAAATCTACTTCCATTCAATGCTTGTTAATTTCCTTTCATTGATACTGTATATGTTTTTCTCTCGAATGCTTCCTGGATCAATATTTATCTGCATTCCACTGTGCTAGAAGAAGGCAGAAGCAGTAAGTAGGAGGGAGGTCCGGAGGGAAGTAAACACAAGCACCTGCATTTCCCCTCCTGCCGCATCAACTGCGCTCTGTTTTAGAAACACACAAGCTGAAGGATACATCTCGATGATGCTGCTCACAACAGCCTTGTTGGGGACGTATTCATGTTTAATGAGGTGAAAAGCACACTAAAGAACATGTGTTTACTTTGTATTTCCTTACACTTTTAAGTAGTGCAGGCTACACAAAATGACATCGGCCTTATATGTTCTTTTCATTGTGGTCTAAAGTCTACACTGTGATTTAAATGGCTTAAAATTAAAGTTTGAAAGTAGAAAGCCATACCAGTTCAAGTGACTCAGTAAAAGGAAGACGTAAAAAGGTTGGTTTGAGAGTTGGTTAAGTTTGAGGCAGGTGATCTGTTGTGGTGAGAGCCTCTGTGTCCATGTCTCTGATGAATCACAGTTTCTGTTTTGTTGTGAGAGCCACAAAGGCTTTGTGGAGCACATTATATAAGCTTTGTATATTCTGATAAAAAAAAACACCTGCAAGTAGGCACAGGCAAGAAGAGTCCACATGGGTCAACTACCCATAGTGCAGTGCAAGTTTAACGTTTCCTCTAGCATTTTTCACTCCATCAATTGCATGCAATTAGTGGCCTTGTGTGAGGCGCTCAGTCAAACAGAAACCTCTGCACTCCCGACAGACTTGTTTCCTTTCTTCATTCAGTTTACCTCTGGGCAAAATGTGAATTTCACATGTGGGTAAATTGCGCTCCGTGTCTCCAGGATACACATCGCAGAGGCCGAGGCAGAAGGAGCCAAAAGTGCTTTATCTACTACACAACGTAATCATGACAGAAGGCACTTGAGTTTTGTCAAAAATAAATACTAACTGGAAAGAAGCAGAAATATAATGCAGATTACTGGAGGATGCAAATCCATCAAATATAATAATATATAATGTTTTCCACTGAAATACATCATTCCTCAGGAGTCATGCTCCCTGTGACCTATTTACAAGTCTTTAATGCACATTGAATTAAACGCCTACAATTAAAGAACCTGCAAATACTGTTGCTGTACACTGTCCACGTGGTCCATGTGTATTACAAACACACTGCAAAAGCTCATGTTCTCTTTTCATCATCACACGTGTGTTTTGCTGGTCAGCATTTGTGTTTAGTGCAATAAATAAAAGAGAATTTGAAAGGAAACAACATATTCTGAATCCGCTGCTTTTCTTTTTCAAGATGTATCATTTATTGATCAACAGCATGCAAATGTGTTCCTGCTAACATGGCCAAGGAGATTTCCCTTTATCAGAAGAATCCCTTGATCATTCTGAGGGCTAGTTGTAGAAGCGGTTACTGCGTACTGGGGTTAGGGTTAGGGTTAGTATTAATCCCACAGTGTATCTTCAATGTTGAGTCCGAGTCAGAATCACTTTCTTCCAAAGTGCTGTGCCCTGCACACCCTCCGAGTGTTCAGGAGATAAACCTGCAATGACTAATGGTTTTGAACAGAGAACAGCATAACATTTTTACTGGTTGATTTA